GTCTGGGAGGCTGGTCTGGAGGGGTAGGGGCTGAAGGCTCTAAGGAAGGTAGGCTGGCTGGCCTAGGTGGGGGCGGTCAGAGGTTCCAGGCTGCGGGTTCTGAGAACGAGGTGGGGCTGAGGGACTGTGGCTGTTGGAAAAAGTCAGGACCAGGTGGGGAGGAGCAGGGAAAGTGAAGAGAAGTAGAGATGGGGACAAGAGCCCAGAATCAGCAGGAGAAATGGGGGGAAGTCTGAGGTGCACGGGGCTGTCTACTGGAGACGGGAGGGGACCGCGGGATGGGGGCCCAGGACTGGGGAGAGTGGAGATCCAAACCGGGGGGGCGGGGTCCTCAGGGCTGCAGGAGACGAGCCGGTCCGAGGCCCACCTGTGAGCGGCGCGGGCTTGCACAGGGTGCTGTAGTGCGTGGCGGGGAAGGGCCCTGCGAGGCGGGCACTGAAGGCGGCGGACGAGGCCGCAGCGAGCTCTTCGCGCAGCAGCCGCCCCTTGGGGTGGTCGGCAGGCAGCTCCACCAGTCTGCGCTCCAGGGCCTCCCGCAGCAACCCCAGCTTCTGGTTGGACTCTGTCAATTTCTCCTGGGCCTGCGGTGGGCAGGGTGGGGCTGAGGGGCGGGACTGGGCTTGCCCCTCCCCACCCCAAGGCTAACCTCAAACCAACTTATGCTCTTCCCTGGTGTCCTGAAAACTAGGCCCCGCCCCCTACCCAGGCCCCACCCCTCATTCAGGTTCATCCCTGGGCGAGACCCCGCCCCCTCGCTGAGGCCCCGCCCTTCACAGTAGCCCTGTTCCTGGCAGAGGCCCCATCCCCAGCTAAAGTATCGCCCTACTGAGGCCCCGCCCTTCACGGTGGCCCCACCTGGCGGAGGCAAGGCCCCGGGTCAAGGCCCCACCCCTAGGTGAGGCCCCACCCCTCACAGATCCTGTCCCTGGCCAAGGCCCCGCCCCTCACCTCGCCCACTGCCTTGCGGTCCGGGGCCTTAGCCGCACTGAGCAGGCGCAGTACGTTCTTAGCGCCCTCCGCCACCGCGTGCTCGACTCGGAAGTGGTGCCGCAGCTCCTCGATGCGCAGCTCCACAGCTCCCAGGTCCGGACCCCCTGTAAGCATGGCATACGGGGCACTGAGGCCAGCCTGCAGCCCACCCCCACGAACCTGGTCCCAGACACGGGCCATCCACAGAAACTGGCACTGGCCACAGATGCATCATACTTCTCCCAGTGTCACAGTGACACTGTCACACTGTCACCCAACACCCAAGGGGCCGCAGTGTCCCTCTTACACAGGGACAGTCTGAGCAACGACACAGAGGCATACTGTCAAGCCAGGCTTAGGGATAGACATGTTGTCACAGTCCCTCTTCATTCCCAGGAATTAGCACCAGGACAGCCTCAGGCACACTGTGACCCACAGGGACAGTCACATTATCTTGATTCAGTTACTGTCACCCAGACACCATCACGTCTGTCACCCAGGGACTATAGCCCCCATGGGCAGGGACATACATCATACTGCCATACACATGTTGACACGCCTCACTCCCCACTCAGCAGTCACTATCACGCAGTTACAGTGACACCCATGGGCATTTGGACAACCACAGAGATACAATCACACTGCCACACAGATGACGTCAGCCACAGGGACACTATTAGGGACCGAAGGTGTCACCCAAATTCATATATTGAAGTGTTTAATCCCCAAAGCGATGGTATTTGGAGATGGGGCTTTTGGGAGGTGATTAGGGTTAGATGAGGTCATTGGGCAGGGGGAAGCCTCATGATGGGGTTAGTGCCTTATAAGAAGAGGAAGAGGCTGGACATGGTGGGCAGCATGTGACAGGATTTCCTTCCTTTTAAACCTGAATAATATTCCATTGTTTGGCTATTACATTTTGTTTATCCATTCATCTGCTGGTGGACGCTGCGGTTACTTCCATCTTTGGCTACTGTGAACAATGCTATGAACACAGATATACAAATATCTCTTTGAGACTCTGCTTTTTTGTTGTTTTTTTTTTTTGAGACAGAGTTTCACTCTGTCGCCCCGGGTATAGTACAGTGGCATCATCGTAGCTCACTGCAACCTCAAACTCCTGGGCTCAAGTGAGCCTCCTGCCTCAGCCTCCCAAGTAGCTGGGACTACAGGCACACGCCACCGCACCCTACCAATTTTTCTATGTTTAGTAGAAACAGGGTCTTGCTCTTGCTCAGGCTGGTCTCGAACTCCTGACCTCAAGCGATCCTCCTACCTCAGCCTCCCACAGTGCTAGTATTACAGGCATGAGCCACAGTGCTCAGGCAAGACTATGCTTTTATTTTTCTAAAATTTTTTCTATCACTAATTTTTAAATTGACAAACAAAAATTATATACATGTATCATGTACAACATGTTGTTTTGAAATACACATACACTGTGGAATGGCTGAGACCCTGTTTTTAATTCTTTTGGGTATATGCCCAGAAGTGGACTCGCTCAATATTATTTTTGAGGAACCACCACAGTGCTTTGCGTAGTGACTGTACCATTTCATATTTTCACCAACAGTGCACAAAGGTTCCAATTTCTCCACATCCTCACCAACACTTGTTATTTTCTGTTTTTAGTTTTTAGGTTTTTTTTTTGATAGCCATCCTCCTGATGAGTGTGATGTATTTGTTTTTTAAAGTATTACAAATATGGGACATCCCAGGACCCCCTACCCTACCCCACCCCACCCCTCAGGGTCCACGATGTCCACTCACTGGTGTTCTCCGCTTCTGCTTTGAGGCTGCTCCGGCCACTGAGGCTCCCACTTCGGCTGTAAAGGCCCCGGGCTGGGCGGCTCAGAAAGGGGGTGCGGCAGTCTGGGGTCCCAGGTCCCCCCACCGAGGGCGAAGGGTTCCAGGGGATGGTCTCTGGGAGGTCCCTGCAGCCCACCACTCGAACCACCAGGGTCCCTGCAGGAGAGGAAGGTTCAGCAGGGGGCCACATCACGAGCAGGCAGGGGGGGACATGGGGGGCACAGGGGGAGGGGCCTGCAGGTAGCAGCACACTCAGAAACAGCCATGGTACAAGTGGGAGCCAGGGAGGGACAGCCAAGGTGGGGCAGGGGGTCTGAGGCAAGGATGTCTGTTCCTAGATGTACCAATGTGAGACAAACACTTTTGGGTGGGGTGGGGTGGCGGGGAGGAGCTCTGGGTGCTGGAGTTTAGGGACAGAAGAGAGGTTCAGGGCAGAGGCCAGGGAGCCAGGCAAGGAGGAACAAGGCAGGACTAGGGAGGCCAGGGTAGGATTTGGTGGGCTGATTTGAGGTCTGAGATGGGCTAGGGGTCTGGGAGGCTGGTCTGGAGGGGTAGGGGCTGAAGGCTCTAAGGAAGGTAGGCTGGCTGGCCTAGGTGGGGGCGGTCAGAGGTTCCAGGCTGCGGGTTCTGAGAACGAGGTGGGGCTGAGGGACTGTGGCTGTTGGAAAAAGTCAGGACCAGGTGGGGAGGAGCAGGGAAAGTGAAGAGAAGTAGAGATGGGGACAAGAGCCCAGAATCAGCAGGAGAAATGGGGGGAAGGTGCACGGGGCTGTCTACTGGAGACGGGAGGGGACCGCGGGATGGGGGCCCAGGACTGGGGAGAGTGGAGATCCAAACCGGGGGGGCGGGGTCCTCAGGGCTGCAGGAGACGAGCCGGTCCGAGGCCCACCTGTGAGCGGCGCGGGCTTGCACAGGGTGCTGTAGTGCGTGGCGGGGAAGGGCCCTGCGAGGCGGGCACTGAAGGCGGCGGACGAGGCCGCAGCGAGCTCTTCGCGCAGCAGCCGCCCCTTGGGGTGGTCGGCAGGCAGCTCCACCAGTCTGCGCTCCAGGGCCTCCCGCAGCAACCCCAGCTTCTGGTTGGACTCTGTCA